TGCTGTCTACACTGCTCGCTCTGCTGTCTACACCCACTCTGCTGTCTACACTGCTCGCTCTGCTGTCTACACCCGCTCTGCTGTCTACACTGCTCGCTCTGCTGTCTACACCCACTCTCTGCATGGGTTGCACGCCAGGGCCGGAGCATTCACAGACTGTGTTCAAGAGGGACATCATGCCTCTGCAGGCCTTCTGGAACAGGCTTCTCTTAAGCAGGAGACCCTGATGGCAGCGGTGTGGAGCTCTCACAGGGCTGCAGCTGTGGGCCTGTGGGCTGGTGTGAGCTGTGGCTCTGACCCACGTTGACCCCAGTGGGTCCATGGTGCCTCGGAGACTCTGAGCTTGGCGCTACGCCAAGATGGATTCCCTTGGCCCCGGCCCTGGCTCCCGGCTCCCCGGCTCCCCGGCCCCTGAGCCCCGGTGCGCTGGGTCCAGAGCCTGGGTCCCCAGGGAGGGAGGGCGCCTCAGCAAGGTTCGGGGTGGCCGTGAGCCCGGACGCCGTCCTTTCTGGGCCCAGTGCCCTGCCCAGGACTGCAGTCGAGCTCCTGCCCGCCGCTCAGGGTCTACTCGGGCGCCTCCCTGGCTCCGGCCACGCGTGTGGCCAGGGTGCCCACCAGCCCCCCGCGCGGCGCTTCTTGTTCAGGAAGCGTTTCCCACCCTACTTGCTGAGCGCCTGCTGTGCCGCCGCCTGGCCTAGGCTTGGCGCTCAGAACTGAGCCTCGCTGCCTGGCTGTTACCTTGCTTTCAGGAGACCTCGCGAACTTCCCAGTTTTAGAAAGTCATAGCGTGTTTCTGGGGAAGTGCGTCAGCCACGGAAGGAAGGCGTAACCGTCGACGTTTGTGCAGCCTCAGCCTGGCTGGCCACGTCCCCTCTGCCCAGCCGCAAACCGCGTGTCCGTTAGTGACAGCCTGTGCTCGCTGCTTAGAAGGGCCGCCCAGTCTTCAGAGCGAGCCTCTGTGCCCGGGTCCCCCAGCCACCTGGGACGCCCAGGGCACATGATCTCCAGAGGTGGCCCCTGGTTCCTCTGCAGGTGTGTGTGATCTGCCCAGTGGAGCTCGCGGGGGCTCCGGGGTGTCGTGCTGAGGACGATGAGGGGGTGGAGTCTCGGCGAGGTTCTGGTGGCAGCCTGTGCT